CAGCAGACCCAAGAAGATGGTGTAAAGAATCAGAGTGCATTTTGCACGGCAGCATGCGCCAATTGTACCAAAGAAACCGGCAATAATCACTACAGCACCAATTACAGTTGTTGCAATCGCAAAATTGTAAACTGGATTATTTGGAGAGTTCAAAAGAGCCAACCAAGCACCGCCTGTAATGGTAATAACAATTCCGACTGCCAAGAATGCGATGTTGAAGAGAGCCAATACGACTTGAAGACACTTTGCAGCGCAAGACATTTCGTAAAGAAGAAATTTGAGTTAAGGAAAAAAAGTCAAACGGTGTGTGTGGCGTTCCCCAACAAAAAAAGCCACGCGCTCCCCGAGAAAATCTCCGCGCAAGCGAAATCCCGATGAGCCCGCAGTGGGAGACGCACTACTCCATAAGGCTTGATCGTTTCGCTTGGCTCATGTTTTATCAAACAACTCTCTTTCTTGTTGTTTAGCAGATCAATGAACCCCGCTCTGATCACTCTAAGCTTGATATTACCAGCGTGCTATGCGTTTGTGACACAGGGTCCACTGGGTGAAGGTACATGTCATGATAATGATGGTGGAATGTTTGGATATTCGATGGCTTTGGCTTCTGATTCTGATACTACGATATTGGCAGTTGGGAAGCCATGGGATTGTTCTGTTCACATCTACAAAACGATCACTCCTCCTCCTATTGATCTTAGTTTGAATAATACTAATTTGACTGATTTCCAGTTTCAGAATGTGAATTGGAGTTATGTGGGTTATGTGTCTGATACGAACAACGGAACATGGCCAACAACACCATATTCTCTATTTGGGTACAGTGTTTCAATGACAAGTGATGGTAAATACCTTGCTGTTGGTATCCCAGGGAGATCAAGAACTCAGAGTCCTCTCCAATTAGAACAGAAATCGTTTGCAGGTGAGGTTAGATTGTACAAGAGAAGGCTGGATTTTTCATATGACCTTCATAGTATTGTCAGAAATCCCAATGCAGGCAGTCAATTTTGGCAAAAGTTTGGGTCTAAAGTTCAGTTTCAAACTGCTCTGAACAGAACCTTCTTGGTTGTTTCTGCTAATCATGGTTGGGATGGTACAACTATTCAATACAAAAGAGCACGACCAGGAAATCCTCAGTTTCCTATTGGACCTACTACAAATGTTTTCTACGCTGGTTTATACATTTATGAACGTATTGATGATGGTGACTCTCAATCTGTTTCATACTTGCAGTTTATCAGGCAAAAGAGTTCTGTCCCGATGGGGACTCAAGGTATCGACTTTTATGTATCTGGAGATAGCAATGAGTTGAAAGTATTTATGCGAGATTATCTGAATTATGGTTGTGTGGTTGAATATCGCTTTAACCAGACAAGCAACTTGTTTTATGAGGTAGACACCTTTTCTGGATATAATTTCACTCTACCTCTTGATGTTGTACCGAATAATGGATACAGCTTTAATTCCTGGGAGAAAACTGACTGGTTTGGTTTGGGTATATCGTATGTGTACGATCCATTCTTTAATCGCTACATCATGGCAATTGGAGCGCCAAAAGATGGAACAGGTCTTTACACGTTCTTCAAGAGAGGGAATGATTATTACGAAGGTATAGATAATGAAGATATTGAAAATACTTGGAACAGTGGTGACTATATTTTAAGTGATGCACCATATAGAGAATCATCATTTGGTGTCAAGCATCAATTCTCTCCTTCAGGTCACTTTCTGGTTGTATCTAATCCAACTGGCTCTGGAATGTCAAAAGGAAAAGGAGAAGTTAGTCTTTATTATAGGCAGACCGAGTTTGAGAAATTGTATCCGACTCGGTTCAATTTACGTATCCCAAATAATCTAAAGTATCCGGAAGGATCTACTCCCCCGTACAGTTATGCAAAGATTGTCCAGTTCACAGATGGTAAATCAACTGGAAACTCCACTAAAATAGTTCCGAGCGATCACTTTGGATACGGACTTGCTGTTAATGAGGATTTTGTGATTATTGGTGCACCAGCTTCATCGTGCTTTTATTCTTACAGAATTCCACTCGTGCAACAAGTATCAAAGCTTCCACCCAGGAAACCGCCTAGTATCACAACCAAAATCATTAAACCTCCAGCTACAACCACGATGCCAGAGCGACCTGCACAGGAAAGCGGTCAGACTTCTTCACAAGCATGGATGTATGGAGTCATTGCTGGTGTAATAGTTCTTTGTGTGCTAGCCCCAGTTACTACTTGGTTCATCATGAGAAGGCATAAGCAAAAGGTACTGGCTCAGTTACAATCTGCGACACCAGCAGCTCTTGCATCAGATGAGTCTCTTCAAGGACCAACTGCGCACACTTCAGAAGAACAACTCAATCAATGAATTAATCAAAATAAAGAGAATTTTTATTACAAAATTTCAAGGTTTCTTTTCATTATTAGTCTTTCTAATTGGTTGACCAGTTGTCGTGAGACTTTCCAAAACGTCACGAGCATATCTAAGTCTGGATATTATATCAGTCTTTTCTGCCTTCAACACATCGTATAAAGTCATTGTACTCATTTGTTTTTCCTTGTTGATAAATGATACAACTTTTCCGTACTGACTCAAGATCAACTTGGTATGATCGAAAAAATTGACTTGGATAACTTGGTTGGAGAGGCGAAACAAAATTGCGTGTTTTGTGTGTAGGTATTTGACCAAGAAGTTCAAGTTGGAGGTATTGTTATCAACAAATGTATGTGGAGAAGCCTAGAGAATAAATTTAATTCTGAAAGATCGAAAAAGCATACCTTGGATAAGTTCTCAACCATAAACTGATTGAAATACTTTAACAGCTTCACTTTCTTTTGAATTTTATCTGGATATACACTCATAGTGTAAGCGTGACGATTCATCACGGACTTGTTGTCAGAAGCGTAATCCAAATATTCAAAATGTTCACAATCAGCTGCCATTACAATACTTGTGGCATCGTTAAAGTAAACACCGACAGATCCATTGGTCAACTGATAGCCTAAACCATACTTGTTTGAGTAATCAATCCATTTGGACACAAAAATCTTTGGTACATCTACAACAACATCTTTCATTGCGGCTTCTATGGAGACAAGATTTTTTTGCTTTGAGCAGGAAATCGCTTGGTCTAGATTGAAATAAAGAGCCTCCAGCATCGACTTGCGTTTCGGAGATGGAGGAGGAAGAGGAGCGGGAATCTTCTTCGGAGGGGTTTGGCTTTTCTTGAATGCTCCTTGAAGTTTTTCAACGAGTGCTTTGACTGGACTCTTCTCTACCAAAACTGGAGCGATAGGTGAGCTTTTAACAGCAACCACTGTTTCAGCTGGCTTTGGAAAAGAAGGTGATGGTGGTGTAGGAGGAGGAACCATAAATGCTGTAACAGGAATAGATGGAGGAATGTAGTTCTTAAACCAGTTGTGTTCCATAATCTGTTTCAAAGAAGGTCTCTTCTCAGGATCTCCAACCAGTATCGACGATATAAGATTGATAGCTTGGGGAGAAACTTCAACACCTTCAGGGAACTCATAGGCATTATCTCTGATTCTCTTGTAGATTTCCTTAACATCCTTTGTCTGGAATGGAGGACGACCAATTAGCATAGTGTACAAAATGACTCCAATAGACCAAACATCAACAGCAAAACTGTGACCGCCTTTATCAAACAGGATCTCAGGAGCAATATAATTTGGGGTTCCACAAATCGTCTTCTTTCTTTCACTCTCGTCCATTAGCAGGGCAGCTAGACCAAAATCACCAATCTTCAATTGCATATCTTGAGCAAAGAAGAAATTGCCAAGTTTCAAGTCACGATGGATGACCTTATTGTCATGCATAAACTGAACAGCCTCAAGCAACTGCATCATGTAATATCTTGCCTCTGGTTCAGTCAACTTCTTACGTTTCTTGATCATATCGACAAACGTCTTATTCTCACAGAGTTCCAAGATCATATAGACATTATCTGCATCTTCAAAGACATGATGAAAGCGAACGACATTCGGATGTTTCAGCATTTGATGAATACGAATTTCTGAGAATAATTTCTGTCTTGCTTTTGGGCTTTTGAGTGCCTTCTTTGCGATCACTTTAGCAGCGAACTTTGTACCTTTCTGGTCCCACACTTCATAACATCTAGCGAATCCTCCCTACAACGATCAGATCATCATCATCGTCACAAGGTTTACCTCTCCAAGTAGTTTTCCTTTTGTGAAGGAATAGATCTGTTTCTTATCCTTAAGAACCTGTGGAGGTGAATTGCAAAGATTCTTGTTGTTGCTCTTTGGGAATTGAGGAATGTTCTCCTTCTGGGTTGTCTTTGGCTGTAGTGGAAGTCTTTGGGGCTGGGCAGATGGAGTTGTAACAGCACCAGCTGGACCAGCAGCTGATGATCTTGTGGCAATCCTTCTCTGGCTTGGAATCATCTTCAAAGAACAAGTATGGTAATAAAGACTGAAAGTATCCTCGTTAATTCTTCAAATGATGCTCAGACAGGCGCACAGTCGAGGAAAATGTTGGTTTGAAACAACGTCAAGCGAGGCGCATCCAAACTTCGCCTTCCCGATCGGGTCAAAAATTGGCTCAACGCGGTTTCGTCCTCTGCCTTAAAGTTGCAGACGTAACGCGGTTAAGTGTTTATGGTTTCAATTGTGAGGCAGAGCTAAATCAGATTGTGTTAAACTCGATGGTCTTTATGTTTGAAAGGATCCAAGGAACCAAAAGGAATCTTGTAAAGAACTTGACAGTAAAACGTTATAGAGGTAGAGTAGACAACTGAATTACATTGGATGGAGGCTATAGGGAATAATATTGATAACTTTTTCGGTGAATTCTTAAGAGGGTAGAAATATCATTCGAAGCATCTTATTCGAAAGGTTTTTCTGGCGCATGTTTGAAGTTTTACTTTAAATCGCAAAGTCCTTATTGTTCAACCTCAAACGCATTCGGTTGCTGTCAGTCGCGGCCTTAGTCTTGAGACGCTGTCAAAGAGGCCTGTCGGATCCGTAGCACAGTGGTAGTTGCGCGGCACTAGTATTAAGAGCTATCTATGCCGAGGTCCCGAGTTCAAATCTCGGCGGGTCCTTACGTTTTGCTGCTCATCTCAATGCTTTACTTCTTAGCTATAGTGTTGGCTCAAAATCATTTTTTAGCAGATTGATATCAAGTCAGCCTTGTTTTTTTTCAACCGACAAGGTAAAGGATGGCCAGCCAGTCTATCTTCGGACTGAAACCGATCTCTGTTACAGTTCAAACACTTTAGAATGTATTGTGCTCTGAAATCAAGTCTCATTAAACGACTTTCGAAGGTTTAGGTTATGATTGACAGAGATTTTTCAAAGCATTTAAATTCACTACAAATTCCATCATGATCGCCGCACGCGACGAATTGAAGGAAGTACAACTCATTTCAGAGCTGTTACAACTTTTATATTTCAACAATCCCAATTTTCTAATTAGAATTTATTGCAAAGAGAATTTTCAATTTCAGCACGGATCCGTAGCACAGCGGTAGCTGCGCGGCACTAGTATTCATACGAGACATGCCGAGGTCCCGAGTTCAAATCTCGGCGGGTCCTTTTTGCCGCTTTGTCCTTTTGTGATAAATGATAGTTGTGGTTATGCCTTTTACCAAACGCTTGTTATTTATACTTTTTTATGGTTTTATTGTTATATTCTAACCCATGTATGCGCGTAGTCTTTAAAGCTCTTGTAATTGAATATGCCGCACTCTCGACTTAAATCTACTTGCTCTTCCTTGTTGTAATTGTCAAACATGAATATTTGATGCCAACTTAAGGACATTAGTGCTCCTACTTTCCCCAAACTGCTTTTAGATGATAATATTTGAAAGTCAGTCGTGCCCATCATCCATATCTCTGAAATTATCCATCGTAATGCAACTGATTCTGCATTCTTATCAGGTCTCAATATATGCATAACTCGATGTGTGCTGTTCTTTGGTGCTATTGCTGTTATAACTTGCGTATCACTGAGAATGCCTTGAATATCTTCTCGTAAGTATGAGCAGTCTGTTACAAGTAGAATCTTTGTAGGAAGTCCAATATCTTTCGATAGGATCCTTGAACATTTGAAGAAATGCTCGGCCCATGTGTAGTTCGACTTGCACCGAAGTGGTTCTCTAATAGCGTAATCACCAAACCTTATTTGTAATCCCACAAGCAGCTCAGTCGGTTCCAATACTTTGCCTTCGTGAACGCGATTCATAGGGTGAATTCCGTAGCCTGGCCTAGAACGGATATAGTCTACAACATCTTCTTCGACACCCAACAAATCTTCCCATTGATCTTCAAATAGAGAAATGGTTTCAGGCTGTAGCTGATACAAGTAATGCATAATGCAACCAAAGGCATTCTCTGGCCTTAAACCCAAACCGTAAAGATAAGCTCTATGATGAGGATTATCGAAAAGCGTCCATACTTGACCTTGATTTAGTTTCCACACTACTGTTCTCGCTGTTCCATTTTCAGTAGTATTACTTCGCCATTCTGTAACGGTGTACTCTTTAAAAGGCGGTGATGATGGTGCTGTCCTCCCGACATCAAGTAGATTAGCCCTCCGAAACAGCTTGTTGATATCTCTGCTATAATAATTAACTGTGCTAGTCATATAATCTCTTATTTCAACATGACCATAATTTGCATCATCATCATACTCTGTGTAAGTCCAATTAATGGAAACGTAATCAAGTGCATCTTCTAGCGGTTCACCTTGCCATCGGATCTTAAAAGCTCTTCCTGATATAAGTGCATACAAGAATACTGTAACGGTCATTGTGAGCCGGTCACCGGCACCATTCTTACTTCCGTCAAAGATCGTAATCAGCTGCTGTTCTTTTGGCAACTTCAACATGTCAGCATGTAGTTTTGCGTAATCATGCTGCCATTTGCCGGTACCACATTGGGGATGTATAAAGAATTTAAATCCTTCATCGGGTATGGAAGTATCATTAGACAGTGGTATATCATCAGTCTCCTTCACAATCTCCAGCATATCAGACATGAACAGTAGAACCATAATGATCTGTGTTACAACCAATACAAGGACCAATTTGGCTCTTCGTGATAAGAATGGTCTTAATCTGAACAGTCCGGAACCTTCTCTGTTCCTATATTCTTTGTTCATCAAACTGTTTCAACCTTTTGTGATATGATGATCAAACAGAAAGCCAAACCACAGACTCAGAACAAATCACCGTTCCTTGAGAACCTGGCTACAGTTTTAGGAATTTTAATTGGACTTTCTTCGATATTTGCCTCGTTTTATCTGAGTTACAACCATTATTATGGCAATGAGAACAGTATGTTTTACGATGTGGAAGTTCCGGATCACTTGACTGACTTTGATCATGAACGCTTCCTTCGCAATTACGCATGTGGTGAACAACAAGGCTTCAAGTTCAAGATCATAAGCAGAGAACCTTTAGTTGCTTCCTTAGAAGGATTCCTGCAAGAAGGTGAAGCTGAACACCTTCAGATTCAAGCAATTCCATTCTTTGAAAGGTCTCTGGTGACCGATAATGCTACAAGCGACAGACTGGATGATGGCAGAACCTCATTCACTACAATGTTTCCCAAGTCACATGATCAAGTTGTCAAGTGTATCGAAGAAAGGGCTGCAAGACTTGTAAACGTGCCTAGCGAGAATGTTGAACCATTACAAGTCGTGCGTTACAAGAAGGGACAACAATATCGTTCTCACTACGATTACTTTGGTGATTCTCCTACAAAGTATTCAAAGGAGTTGGAAGCATGCGGTGATCGTTTAGCGACAATATTTGTTTACCTCACAACGGTCCCTGAAGCGTTTGGTGGTCACACATCTTTTGAGGAACTTGGTTTAAGAGTTCCAGCTAAACGAAACAATGCAGCGTTTTGGTATAATTTACACTTTAATGGCTCCGTTGATGACCGAATGTTGCATGCTGGAGATTTAGTTCGCGGAGATGTTGTCAAGTATGGTTTGAACGTGTGGGTCAGAGAAAAATCTTATGCGCCTTGTGAAGAAGAATTGGAGTGAGCGCTATAAGGCTGTGATAAATAAAATGCTTGTACGCCAGTGATGAATCAAATAGGCAGTTATAGTCTATGACAAACTTGGAGTCATTTTCTACGTAACAAAATTTGCTTTTTCTGTGCAACAGATTGTCTGGGCAGCGAATCATATTAGACTTCTGTCTCTTATCATACTTTCTTCTACAAAATGAGTAAAGCTGAATCTTCTTCCTTAAATTTTGGCATGGTAACCTATTTGGTTCAAGGTGCTCTGCTTGGTGCAACTGTTGCGTTTATGTTGACTGTTGGTAACAACTACGACTTGCGAGAATGGGCTTCCAAGTTCTCGTTCAAGAATGAAATGAATGGTCCGATGGCTTTCAATTTATCTCTGAGCAGATTTGATGATCAAAAGTATCTTGAAACGTACAAGTGTGATCCTGAATATCGCTTCCGTATGAAGATGATACGAAGAGATCCTTTGATTATGGAAATTGAAGACTTTCTCGCTCCTGGTGAAGCAGAACATTTGGCTATTACTGGTCTTGGCAATCTGAAGAGATCAACTGTTGCTGACTATGAAGAATCTGAAGTTCGCACGAGCTCATCTGCTTTCCTGGAAAAGAGTGCTGACGCTGTATTGGAATGTATTGAAAAGCGCGCTTCATATATTACAGGTTTGCCTATTGAAAATATTGAGGGCCTGCAAGTGGTCAAGTATGTACATGGTCAATATTATAAGGAACACCATGATTTCTTTGATCCAGCGTTTGATGGTGAAAATGGCCAGCTCTCACGAGGAGGTCAGCGTCTAGTTACGATATTTGTTTATTTAAACACAGTTGCGCCTGAACACGGTGGTCAAACTTACTTTCCTGAGATTGATCTCCAGTTTCAACCGAAAAAGAATCATGCTGCTTTCTGGTGGAACGTTAATGTGAACGGGACTATTGAACCGCGTACTTTACACTCTGCTGAACCAGTTGATAATGTTGCAGAGAAGTACGGGCTAAATATCTGGATAAGAGAAGGTCCTTTCCATTGAATAATAAAATAGCTGAAGTGTGACGAAGATCCAGTTGATTGATTGAGATTGCGATCAGAATGCACTTATTCAGTCCTACTTTTATTTTCAGAAAATGCCATCAAGAGGTTGTAGTATTTGTTTGCAGGCGTTATTGGTTATATTCAATTTGATGTTTATCGTGCTGGGTATCATGACCATTGTCGGTGCGACCAGTATTCTCAGCATTGTTACAGTATCAGGCAATGATGTTTCAAGCTCAACTACGGAAGCCATTGTGTTTGGAGTTGTTGCGATTATCATTGGCTTAGTTGGTGTTTGCTCTGCGTGTTTTAGATCCAAACCAGTTTTGATGTTCTATGCAGTGATCATGTTGGTCTTGATGGTTGTTCACTTTTACTATGGCGGTAAAATGTTTCAGTATGCAAACGACAGAAACGGTGTTAGAGACTCGTTGAGTCAAACATGGGACGCCCAGACTAAAATAGGAAGAATGAACATTCAAACTTCATTCTCGTGCTGTGGTTTCGATTCTAATACAGATAGGCAAGCTGAAACATGTCCAGCAGATTCCGGCCCATGTGGTCCTATTCTTGTTGATTCTAGTATCAAAGCCCTCAAGAACACAGGAGCATTTCTAATTGTCGGTGGTATTGCAGAGCTTGGTGCAGCTATCGTAGCCCTTGTTATCGCGTTTAACCAAAATCACTTACGTTCAGGTTATGGAAAGTACTACGGAAAGTAATTCGCCAATGTGTCATATAAATAAACTTTTAAAAATGTCGACTGCTGTGACATGCGTTAAGAAATGGATCGAATTGAGAAGGTTGTGTGGTACTCGAGAGAGAATATCACTTGAAGATGAGGAACCTCTGACTTTAGAGACGTTTGGGTCTTTGCTTAATGCTAATATGATGCATAACAAAGCCCTGATCGTTGCAAGAGTTGAAACGGAAGGTTCTGATAAGCCATTCTATTATTTAGCGCATCACTTGAATAAGATATTGTTCCGAAAGTATGGTCAAGAGACGCAATATCTTTTCAGGC